AAAAATCCCCCCCCCCCCCCCCACCTCCAGATCCTCAACTCCACTCTAGATCCTTTTCTGCCCGGATTTTGGGGGAGATAAACCCAGAATAAAGGAAGAGTAGCACAGTTATACGACTTTATACAGTGTCTCAGCTTTAGCTAACTAGTTAGGAAATTAATAACAGAGAAGAAATAAAGAAGCTAGCATTCTTCACCCAATGAAGAAATACCTATTATCTATTTTAAACTGAAAAATCCAAACCTAGCAATATTTTCCAGTCCTTATCTACTCAGATCTCTTCTCTGAAACTGTTCACCACCAATCTTTACATTTCATTCTATAATATTTGGAGTTATAAAGACCTGCAAAATTAATAGACTTACCTACCATCTTAATAGTCTAAAACACAGCTCACATCATAACAGATCTTGAAAAACAGCTACACCACAATAGTCATTCTGGACCTACCTCAGCCACATTCTCAGGACCACCAAGTGCATCTATAAGTTCATCCAATGTATTAGGAGGAAGGTCTTCTGCTAGTTTTTCCAGTTTATCAAGCAATTCTTTTTTCATCTGCTGGGCTCTTTCAACAGCATCCTGACTTGTTACAAAGCTGCTCTTAGTATTACTGTTTGCTGAAAGTTAAGACAAAAACCAATTTAAGAAAATAAGCTTTTTTTAAAACACTTTTCAATTTCTGGAATAAAGTAAAGAAACTCAAAAGACAGCTCTAAAACTCATTCATACCTGATGTATTGGTACTAGAAACAGTGGTAACAGAGGAAGAAAAACTGCTAGGTCGTTTGGATCCAAGACCAGAAGCTAATAAGGCACTCTGAATGGAATCTGGGTCTATACTTTTCTTCCTTTTCTTGTCTTTATTTTTCTTATGGTCTTTTCTAATTAACCAGGGATCTAAAGTTAAAGTAAACATTAAGTAAACAATCAAAACACTTTCAAAATAAGTCACTTCCCCATTAGCCATGTTAGATAGCGGGTAACAGAATAGAACTGCATGAATTCTTAGCAGTTAGTCAACTAATCAATAGCCCATAAGGGTGCCACTCCTAGCAGCCTCTGTCTGAGGCAGCAGTGCCCAGGGGCAGGGAGGGGGAGGCACTGCAGAGCCAGCTCCGCCCCCAGCACTGGCCCAGGCATATGGGCTAATCATCTAGTCAACTACTCATTCAATAACAAATTCTAGGTCATAAAAGCAGTTTAATTTTTTTTTTTTTAAAAAAGATGTGCCAAGTACAGCTGTCATATGTAAATCACCAAGCATGACGACAGTTGTAGAACTTTAATTTCAGGGTCAATAGAAGAACCAACTTTTTCAGATTACACATTTATAACAAATACCCTCCATTTTGTCTCATACTGAAGTGCTTTAAATATCGACACATAACATTCAGAAATACAGCTAATTACTTAATGAAGAGCAGCCATGTTATCTTACCATCTTCATCATCCTCACTAGATTCATCTCTGAATGGGTTGAAGTCGTCGTCGTCGTCATCTCCTCCAGAACTCAAGAACTTGGAGCTGTCATTGTCACTTCCTTCATTGTCTGAGGCACCAGACTCACTTTCACTCTCACTGGAACTGCTCCCAGCAAGGCCACTTGTTTTACGAGCTTTCTTGGTTTCTCTAGTTATTTCCTCACCTATTCACCCCCAAAATAAGAACATGTTTTTTAGAAATACCTAGTCTATTTTTCACAACTTATCTTCATACCTCTGCAGTGACTAGGGGAAAAAAATGGAGCCTCAGTACTGAAATGGGGCTTTTGTGTGCATTGCAACTCAAAGTACATGAATTTAACAAAGTTTAGATCTTTAAGTTTTGGTGAATCTCAAAAGTTGCAACCTCCCTCTATATCTATACTATTAAACAGATAGGAGGTACAAGACTTGTTCTTTCAATAACCAGATTCCATAAGCTGTCCTAATCATTTCTAGCTGCCACTCATGAAAAGTCTGAGGGGGTAGCGGCGTTATCATTTTTGCAGATAGGCTGAGTCCTGTGTCACCTTAAAGACTAACCCTTTGGGCATAAGCTTTCATTATGAAAAAACACTTTGTTGGATGCCTCTGATGAAGCGGTTTTTACCTATGAAAGCTTGTGCCCAAAGGGTTAATCTTTAAGGTGCTACAGGACTCCTCATTTTTACCCATGAAAAGGTCATTCTACAAGACAATCTGTGCAATTCAAGTGCTCCCACTATCTCAAATAATACATAAAATGAATAGCTTGCATTTTACCTTTACGTTTCTTTATTTTGTTCTCCTTACAAGGACTGTCCCTAGGTGAAGTATTATTACTTTGAGCAGTCAGATCTATTCCCAGCAAACTAAAAAGCTTCTTCCTGTCAGGAGCTGGGAAGTGCTTCTCAATGAGAGACTGCAAAACTCCCCTGTGTAAGGAAAAATTAAGAATGAATGTTCCTCAGCCCAATTCTCCTCTTATTCAGAAATACAGCTAAATTCTTAAGATTATCCATGTTATCTTACCATCTTCGTCATCCTCACTGGATTCATCTCTGAATGGGTTAAAGTCATCATCATCTCCAGAACTCAAAAACTTGGAGCTCTCATTGTCACTTTCTTCGATGTCTGAGGCATCAGACTCACTTTCACTCTCATCAGAACTGCTCCCAGCAAGGCCACTTGTTTTACGAGCTTTCTTGGTTTCTCTAGTTATTTCCTCACCTATTCTTTCCCAAAATAATAAAGTGATATTAGAAATCTGTAGTCTATTTTTCACAGTGTCTTTGCAGTGACTAGGGAAAAAAAAGGGAGCTTAAGTACTAAAATGCAACTTTTTGGTGCATTAATGTAACAGAATGCAATTTAGATCTTTAAATTCTGGTGAATCACAAAGGTTGCAACTTCCTTTCATATGTATACTATTAAAAAGATAGAAGGTACAAGATTTGATTCTTCAATAACCAGATTCCATTAGCTATCCTAATTGTTTCTAGCTGCCACTCATTAGAAGTCCTGTAACACTCTAAAGAATATTTTAGGCATAAGCTTTCGTAATCACTTCATTGGATGCATCTGACAGTGGTATTTACCCACAAAAGCTTATGCCCAAATAAATCGAGTAGTCTGTAAGATGCCACATGACTCCTCATTTTTACCCAGACAAGGTCATTCTACAAGACTTAATCTGTGCAATTTCAAGTTCTCCTACTATCTCAATAAATTACAAATACATAAGAAGAATAGCTTGCACTTTACCTTTCCGTTTCTTCATTTTGTTCTCCTTACAAGGACTGTCCCTGGGTGAATTATTATTACTTTGAGCAGTCAGATCTATTCCCAGCAAACTAAAAAGCTTCTTCCTGTCAGGAGCTGGGAAGTGCTTCTCAATGAGAGACTGCAAAACTCCTCTGCGTAAGGAAAAACAAAATTAAGAATGAATGTTCGTTGACCTCTGTTAGTTGGGGTAGGCAGAATGGTCACATAGCGTGTTTTCGGTCGTCTCCCCCCCCCATTCTTTGGCACAAAAATTCATTCAGATGCACTGATTCCTTTTTGTTAATGTAAGACTTACTTTGCTGTGGAAACAAAGTCATTCAATTCTCCACCACCCTCCTCTAAGGCTTCTAATGTTCTTGCTTCTCCTGTGGACTGTAGTCCAATAACAACACACTGTAGAGAAACAAACACACACAAGCCATGAAATGCTAACAAACACATGATTTTTTACTTCTTGTGAGACAAACAAGAAGGATTTGCAGTCAATACCTCAGCAACACGCCACCGCACACCTTCAAAAACACAGTAATTCTACAAATGGCTTTGTTCCTAGTACTAATCTGTATGGTACAACGCTCAGAGAGGTTTCCGAAACATTTTGAACGACAACCAACCAGATTTAAACCACTTACTTTCCCATTCTTGATCTCTTCTCGAGCTAGCTGTACCACCCTTTTGACTTTGGATGCTATGCAAAGGTACTTGAAAAATCTCTGGTGGGCTGACCAAAACTGACCCCACATGGACTTTTTCATGCGTTGCTCTGCATCAATAAGATCAGCTGCTTGTTGAAATTTCTCTCTGGCATTCACCCACTGATAAAGAAATCAGAAGTTTTACATATCACACCTTTCAAAGTCTACCATCATTAGATAGATTATCTGTACTAACAGCCAAAGAAAGCAACATATGAAATCTTTTACAACATTACTAGAATTGAAAAGCAATTGTGGACAAGAGAGTACACAATAATCAATGGCCTTCTGACAGGAGATCCAACACCAAATAAGCACGTAACACAGTATTTCATGAGCGAGCTAATTGGATACTGTTCTGTAAACAAAAACTGCCTGCCAGAAACTAGGGACAAACTATGAAAAAGCAGCTGTTCTATAATCAGGATTAGGGATGTAAGCAGGTAGCTGAGTCGAGTATCTGCCACCTCTGTATCAGAAGCGGTTGGGGGAGGGGGGAGAAAGAGGAGGAGGAGAACTGGCTTAAGCACCAGTCCCCCCCGCCGCCTATCAGAGGCAGCAGGGGAGGGCAGCATGGGGAGCCATTTCTGGTTGGGGCGGGCTGAGTTGGGGCTCCAGAAGAGCCATATCTGGCTCCCTAGTGAGCCATACTTAGCTCGCAAGCCATAGGTTGTCAACCCCAGCTGTATAATCAAGATGCTATGCCCAGTCTGACAGCAAACAATCTCCATTCATTAACTTTCCAGCATCTACCAGTTCAAACTATTATGAATGATTAAAAATTTAATTTCTTACCAGTTTCACAGATTTATTATACATTTTAATGTAGTTCTGTGAAAGTAGAACTTCTTCAATTTTGAAGGTCACAGGTTGTCAACCCCAGCTGTATAATCAAGATGCTATGCCCAGTCTGACAGCAAACAATCTCCATTCATTAACTTTCCAGCATCTACCAGTTCAAACTATTATGAATGATTAAAAATTTAATTTCTTACCAGTTTCACAGATTTATTATACATTTTAATGTAGTTCTGTGAAAGTAGAACTTCTTCAATTTTGAAGGTCACACCTGAAAAGCTTAACTGTCTTGCTATGTACATTCCTCTCAGTTTCATATCCATAGCAACTATTTCCATGGCACCCACACCTCTGGGGGGAAAAAACAAACACCCCACAAATTATTGCATGGGTTAGAAGTAAATGGCATATTCAAGTGCACTATGAAAAGTAAATATTTATTCCAATGCAACCAATGTGCAAGAACACTAGAGTTGTAGGATTAAACACAGATCAGGAAATATTAGAAATCAGGTTGTACACACAACTATAACTCTGCCCTCTTGTGAATAGGCACTGTAACATGATCATGTAGATAATTCTCAGTCTACCTTTTGAATGACGTAACACATACATGGGTAGTTATCTTGTAATTTTTTTCCATTTTTATACTGTAACTAGTTTCATGCCAAAGCTATAGTATCTGAGATTTTTTTAATATACATTTCTCCAGAGTGTGTTAAGAGTACATTTTCTATTCCTTCACTGATTTTTACTGGCACAAGAGCCAAATTTGGCTCTTAAGCAGCCAGCTTTCATAAATCCTTTCCAACCATCAGCACAGCCTTAGTACAGACAAGGGCTAAGAATCAAATATGAAGTTAATTTAGCTGAAAATTTGGGCCCATATATATTTTCAGTATCACACTTTTGTTGCACACTCAAATAATGTTGCACTAGTATAGCCTATTTTGTACTTTTCACATGAGTCTACCATGCACAATACAAGATGTTACACAAGAGGACCTAAGATTAAAAAACTGTTTCGAACATTTTTCTCAAATAAAATAATCACGTGACAGGGAATTAAATGGTTAGAGAATGTTATACAGGCAGTCCCCGAGTTACGCGGATCCGACTTATGTCGGATCCGCACTTACGAACAGGGCTTTTCTCACCCCGGAACTCGCGGGCGGCGGGACCACCCAGATGCGCAGTGGTCCCGCCACCGCGTCCTCTGGGGCGAGAAAAGCTGCTCCGGGTGTCCCTGGGCTGACTCTGGAGCCAGTTCCGACTTACGTACAAATTCAACTTAAGAACAAACCTATAGTCCCTATCTTGTACGTAACCCGGGGACTGCCTGTACTCTATGTTGATGCTGGAAGATTCTCTGTCTGAGACAGAGCAATGGGCCAGGACTGTTCAGTCAGTGACTGTGCTAATTAGCAAAGCTCCAGGGACAAGGTTCTCAGAGAGGCCAATATACACCTGAGGAATGTGTCTGGGTCCTGCAAACCAACCAATATCATGACTGCTGACATGGGACACAGGGATAGGTCACTGGGCCATGTGACTTGCTCCAGCTTGGAAGATACCAGGGATGGATATAAAATGCCATGAGGCAGGCTCCATCTTGCCTTCAATTCTGCTACTGATTCCAGATGCAGCCTTGCGAGGAACAGAGAGCCGGGAAGAAACGTAGGGCCATCCTGACATAGGATGTACACCAGAGACTTTTAAGTTAGCAGTTTGTAACATCTCTGCTAAGATTCTGCATCGGGAACTTGGTGATTCGATGCATGTAATGTATTCTCCTTAACAACCTTACTCTCATGCTTTTCTTTCTTTTATTAATAAACCTTTAGATTTTAGATTCTAAAGGATGTTGTGTTTTTTTTTGTGGGGGGGGGGGGGGGGTCTGTAGATTGAAGTGCCCATTTTCTTCAAAATATTTATCACTAAATGAGGAACAGCATAAATTTCATCATCTAGAACACTCTGGCCAAGGACCACTAGAAAAGCCTCAAGCAGTGGGACTTCTGCTGACCTTATAAACTCTACATCATACCTCCAGAAACCATTTGCCCCTTCAGTACACTTTTTACTTTGTAGCTAAATCTATTCTTGTACCAGGTGTGAACATTATTTATTTTTCACCTGTATCAATTAAATCAACCACAGATTTTACCAGAACACCCAATTGCACTTCTTTAATTTAAAATCATTCTACACCAACCTTTTTTCAGATGTAGACATGCTTTAGAAAGTTTAATTTTCATGTTTTTAAATGAACCATCTCCCTACCTCAGCTCCATTTACTTCATGTTTTGCTAAATAGAAAGGTTTAAGAGACAGAACAAGCCTGGAAGAGTTTCAGGAGAACTATCCATGACTGAAATCAGGGTTGAAATGAAAAAAAATGGAAACCATACTGCAGCCACGACTATAGCTGCTCTTGCTATAATTCTTTAAGACATTACCTTCTTTCAACAGCCTGAATAAAGTCACTGAATTCCCTAAATGGGGTTCCTTCACCCCATATTCCCAGACGGTTCATATATGCCATATTTCGTGGCTCAGATGCACCTGAAAAGAAGAGCACAGGCTGTACCAATGCCAATAAGACAAGCCAGCTTTTCTATAGGCATCTGTATTAAGTAGTACTTACCTGTGGCACTAGCATAAACAACTCTAGCCTTCGGAAGTTTATTCTGAAGCTCCAACACAGCTAAGCCTGTCTTTGTTGGTTTTGAAGAACCAACAGGACACAGATTCTTAGCTTTGTGACATTCATCAAATACTATCTGAACGTTAATTAAGGAGTAAGCATGCCATTCCATAGTCCGGGGTGAGCAATAATTTTTGCCCAAGGGCCACCCCGGAAGGGGCAGGGCATAAATGGGAAGGGAAGGGGCTACCCCACCCCCAGACCGTGATTGGTCTGGGGGTAGGGGAACCCCTTTGTCCCCCCTTCCCACTAGGCACCCATGCCCTGGAAGGGGCTTGGCACATTCCCTCACCCCCAGGCCAATGAGAGCCTGGGGGCGGGGGAGCACCGGAATCTTCCTCACGCACTGCAAGGAGCACGTGGCACTTTGAAGTGCCACAGGCTCCTCACAGGGCCGGGGCAGGGCAAAGGAAGCTTCACGCAGCTCCTCTGCCCCAGGCCCTGATTGGTCTGGGAAGCACGTGAAGCCTCCTCCCCTCTCCCCTCTCCGCGGGGCTTCAAAGCACCACAGTTCTCCTGGCAGGGTGGGAGGCGGCTTCGCACGCTCCCCTGCCTCCAGGCCAATTAAGGCCCGTGGAGACCCTTTTGCCCACCCCTGCCATAGTCAATATAGCACAGGGTCTTCAGAAGAGAGTGTTTGATTTTTTTGCACTGAAATCTAAAAACTGACAGCTCATGAAAGCATAACCAATAAATATTCTACAGAGTTCAGTCAAACAATTTAATTAAAAAAAATCCATGTCCAAACATTCAATTTTAAGCTATTCAACTACACATAATTAGCATAATGTCTTCAGGTATTTTAGGAAAATTTTCTTGAAGACTAAGAATTTTTTACAAAGATTTTACAGGAAAAAGTCTAAGAACTGGGGTGAAGTTACATACAAATGTAAACAAGAGCAAAGGTTTCTGATGACTATATTCCAATCCCTGATTTACACCACCACAATCAAGCTACTAGTTGGTCACACATACAGTGTGCTACATGTTTCAAATAAAGCATTTTGAAAACATTGTATGGTTTCAAACTAATGAAAAACATCCTTTCAAAAATATAACCGTATAAAATGTACATGATTATCTTGCATCAAAAGGGGGTGTTTTATATTATGGGTCAATCATTTCTATTGTTTACTAAGAAATGAAAGGATACAACTCCATCGAAGTCATCACCACACCAGTGGAGAAGCTGCTTTAATCTGGTTTTGTATTTACCACCAGACTGACTTTCACCAATAAGAGAAGAATATGTGGCAAAAATGACACCTCTCTTTACACTCCCATTATGTTTTGAAGAAATTTTTCCATATTTGAACTGCAAGAGAAAAGAAAGTTACATTTTAGTAAGTTTACCGCCCCCCCCCAAAAAAGTCCCCATTCTCCCCCCCCCTCTGGGCCAGGTTTTATGAAAACTGGCTTAAGAATATAAATATGCATAACTCTGAGATGCTTTCAACAAAATCCCTCATGTAACCTATCAATTTTATTACTACTAGGAGACGGTGCCCCCTGCTCACTATGCTTGCCAACCGCCCCCTCTTCTGGGGGTAGGCAAGC